AATTCTTGGGAAAGCGCATTAGTCATCCCTATCTTCAAGAAAAGTGATATAGAATATCCAATTAATCACCGACAAATAGTACAATAGGAAAAGTTTGTGAGAAAGCAGTTAGCTCTGTTATTTACAATAGGAAAAGTTTGTGAGAAAGCAGTTAGCTCTGCTAAGTACAATAGGAAAAGTTTGTGAGAAAGCAGTTAGCTCTGCTAAGTACAATAGGAAAAGTTTGTGAGAAAGCAGTTAGCTCTATTAAGTACAATAGGAAAAGTTTGTGAGAAAGCAGTTAGCTCTGTTAAGTACAATAGAAGAAGTTTTTGAGAAACAAGTTAGCTCTATTAAGCACAATAGGAAAAGTTTTTGAGAAACAAGTTAGCTATATTAAGCACAATAGGAAAAGTTTTTTTAGAAACAAGTTAGCTCTATTAAGCACAATAGGATAAGTTTTTGAGAAAGCAGTTAGCTCTATTAAGCACAATAGGATAAGTTTTTGAGAAAGTAGTTATCTCTATTAAGTACAATAGGAAAAGTTTTTGAGAAAGATTTTATCAGATATCTCCAAAATTATTACTAGATAGATCCTTGTACAAATACCAACTTTAGAGTTCATCATTTAACTGAAATAAGTATGGCGCATATGTGCATGAATCGACCTAAATGTGGCCATGGAAAAAATATTTTTGATTTCCGCAAATTTCAACTGATATTTTGAATGATTTATATCCAAACGCTCAGGATCAGAAACAAATCTTGATATGATTCATATATTATTATGTACGGATCATCAAATCTGCTGATACTGAAAATATAAAAAAAAAAACCCGAATTGGACAAAAATGATACGTGCTCATGTTTTCCGTCTGGAATCTAGAATTAAGAATTAGACAGTATTTATATCAGTGTCTTTAGCAAAGACAGTTAAGGTGTGAGAAATGCTGTCTGAGGGTCCCAGGTTCGATTCCAGCCATTGACTGTCCAATTTATATTTATTTCACTTTTAATTAATTCTGGCATGTGGTGTTCTTTTTATTTTTCATATGCATGTTAAGAAGACAAATTACCGATTGAAAAATCCCATGATTCAAATCATTTGCTGCGATACCATGTAACAAGTAACTTATATATTAAAGAGGTACTGTACATTGAATTGGAGTTATTGGTTTATATTTGAACTTTAAACCCGTCCAGCAACCAAATAGTCCAGGAGTATAATAAAACTACATTTTATGTATATATTATGTATTATGTATTTATGTATATACATTTCATAATACTTAAACAGGTAAAATGTGTTTTTTTTTGTGTTTGTATCAACATGTCCATATAGAAATACAGACCATCTGTCAAGACCATTTCAGTCATCAGGTGAATGGTCTCTAGATGAATAACGTTTTTACAAGGATATGCACCCAGTTTTTTCCTATCCAAATGTGTATCTATTTGCAAGTCGTGTTAATGGCCAAGTTCCAAAATTCTTGGTGTTCAGACGTAGATGATTTTGCACGTGATGCTTTCAGTATTAGTTGGTCAAAACTTGAACTATTTTCTTCTTTCAGTTTGATGTCCAGAGTGAGCACAAAGATCAAGATCGACAAGGTATGGCGAATAATTTGGTAGTCCCCCTGTGGAGAAACCAAACATGGCTACCTGTCCTACTCCGTGTCGTTCTTGCTCCACCAGCACGGTGCCAACATGGGATAATCTCCTTTCTCCAGAGAACGAGTGCCATCCCTTGGGGAAGGACCCCAGACTGGTCGCATGTTGGATATCAGATCACTGCAGAGGGGAGGTCTTCTCCTCATAGAAATATTGTACTCCAAACAATATGATTTTGCCTGGAATCAACCATCTTTGGCTATTTGTCATATCAGGGAAATCATACAGTGTGGCGAACACTCACAAACATTCAGATTTAAGCTCTATTAGGTACACCCATTCATGTAGGAGACCCTGTTCTTAGAAGATTTATGAAATGGGTATCTCATTCCGAACCTCCACAACCATGATGTTCGGTTATATAGGACGTGTCGTTATTGATGAAATACTTATCTACGCAGTACCCTTTGCCTGATCTAGATCTCTCAGTTTTGTCAAAGGAGTTTGTTTGTTGGCGCGTTCTACTGCCCAGAGAGCACATACATTACTGTTAATAGATATGGATTACACGTTTGTGCTTGACTTGGATGAAAGGATAGTCTGTACGATTTAATCTCTTCTAAAGCATCTAAACTAAGCTATATTTTCTGGTTTCTTGGTCAAGTATAGAAACGTCACGTTGTGTGTTGTTAGGACATTTTTGGAAAATGGTATCAGTCTTTTAGTGTCATACAAATCAGGGTAGGGAATTTTTGTTGTACTTTCACTAGATGTAGATCATCCTTTACATCACAATACATGGAGGTGCTGTGCCTGCTACATATTCTGCCTGGGTTTCACTTCAAACCATATTGTCGACGGCAACCTGGACCTCTGCTTCTACATTTCAGACCTTTTTATCTTATTTGGAAAACGATGTAAACAGGCAAGTGAAATTGATGCTATAGAGTTAATGCTGTGTATAAATTCAGTGTCCCAATTCTATATTGACTGTCATGGATGAGGGATGGTACTCAGTGTGTGTTATGAAGGAGGCCAGGGTCAGCTAGGAATATGGTTCACCTCACTTTGTTGTTATAGCAGCTGGATGGCTAAATAGAAACATATTCCCCCTCTCACCCGAGCATCTCTGATGTCGGGGATGAGACGGATTCTAGGAAAAGAAGCCAGTATTCTGGAGGGTTACCTTCCCACCCAAGAGATATTGAAACCATTTTTTCAGTGCTCGTTTGGACACTAGATCTGTGCTTTAATTATTTGGTTAAATTTGGGTTTGAGTCCAACCCTTTTTAAACAACAAAGTTTGGTTCATGAACTATCGTGTTTTGGGGTGGAGACAACTAGTTATATACGGGTGCTCCATCGGGTCAGGTAGCATATGGAAGTCAGGTCAGTGCCAAGTGGAAGTATTTAGATAATGAAGGTAAACAAAAAATGGAAAATGCTAGCAAATAATTAACACGTAATTATTTCATACAATTTTGAACATTGTACCGGTGTTTTTGTTGATACATAAATCGATCACTTGAATAAAAAAAGTTCAATCTATTTTAAAGTACAGTCCAATTAGTAAAGAAAGATGAACAAGAATTAGAATTGATCAATTAAGTTATCAGTGAACTTTTATAGACAACAGAACATTGTACAACAAGGTATAATGACACCAGTGTATTTAAGCAGAAAGGTAAATATCAAGCTCTTGTTTCAGGCAATACAAAAAGTCTCCTTAATACGTAAGAACACTTAGCTTAAATTTTGCCATTATTTAAGCGTCTCAACAAATTTTAATCAACAACAATTGAAAGGCAGCGTTTGGTTGTACAATAACATTTCCACTGACAGTTCTGTGTGTTTTTCATGGGTTTAAAGAGTCGTTTAAGTATAAATATCGATAACATCATTAACCTGAGTAATATAGTACAGGGATGACTAGGTTTTCGGAATCAGTTGGTATATTAACGACAAACCACTTGTCCTTATGGTTAAGCCTTTCATAAAAATAAACATGTTTATGTCTTCAAGCAAGGCATCCATCCGTGAAAAATCACTGGGGTGTTACATTGAATACTCGTAAGCATACCATTAGGAATTCATCCGATATTTCTCTTAAATTAATATAGCAAGGTGTCTTGACTTTGATATGTTACGGCGATGATAAAATTGTGTGTCGAGATAATCCCGGATTAAATGTTACTGCTGTTATATATCGCAAACTTACAACTCTCGTTCCGATGGCAATGACAGTAAGTATTTTTATAATATGTGTAGTGTTTCGTGTTTAAGATTACTTCTCTAAAATGACGTGACACTGCCGAACAAGTCAAATCATGTGTACAAGTGTGAAGGTTCAGCAAATGTTAAGGATGTGAGGATGTAAGTAGCTTGGGTCTAACTTAATGAAAACGGTGAATTGGTAAAATACATGTACTACCATTTAGGAGCAGCATTTTATATGTTATTTTGAGAGTTCCTTATCGTCTGTTACACATAGAGGTACAGTGAATGTTCCTTACGTGGACGTCTAATAAAAATAGTTATTTCAAAATGAAATCATCCATGCTGTCAGGGTTTCTGTAAATGCGGGCTTATTAAGGGCCTTACTGTATTCATAATGGTCTCATCAGGAAATATCCTATTTCCTGGTACGGTATGAAGACGGACATATTTAATGCTCTTTATTTTGCCTGGTTGGTGGTTCCATTTGTGTTGTTCTCATATTTGAGATTGTGCTTGAACTTGAAATAACTATGATATATATTGCGATAAAACAATAGACTATGACTCTTTAAGATCACGTGGTCTTATTCACCTTGAACTTTTTCATGAGTCTGTATGTAAATCATCGTTATGCCCATATTTAGTCACAGTTTCATCGATTTTGAGTTTGATTTCAGATTCAGTTGACATGTCGGTATTTTCTTTATCTTTTAATTGGAATATGGTCGTTTAGAAATGTCTATAAACCCTAAGAACTTGTAAGCTATCTGTATTGATAGTGAACTACACTAGTAGTTATATAATACGTTTTGTTATATACGGCAGTCTGTTTGTGTCCATCATGTCTGTGAAATGAGGCTTTGTTTCGTTGTTTGGTTAACCATCTCCTCAGTGATTAAATTGGTAACCTTGGTGCTGATAGTTAAGAACATCAAAATTGAAAAAAATCGTATTTAATGGATTCTAATAATGTGGTTTAAAAAAGTATTTCGATGTTACGTTATTCCATGGATATTTTGTAAATGTGCTGATAAACTCCACAAGTCAAGGACATTTTTATCTGTTTATCATTTCGTGGACGGATGATCTCGCTGTATAAGAGTACGAAATTAATCAAAATAAAATTACTACGCAAATAAATGATTTTACAGTATCTCACAACAGTACTCCTAGGATCAGTTACCAAATACTTGATGATGATGACTAAACTGATATTGCTCGTAATGATACTGAGCTCCAACTGGTGTGTCCAAGGTTACCCATCCTTCCAAACAAGTATTCCGAACGGAGGCAATGTCCTTGACCCTTGTGACGACAACACTATCTGGATGGGTGTAGGACATCATGCTATGAGCGGAGGTGGACCTCGGAATTGTTTCGGAGTCGATTTCGCACAAAATAACAAGGCATGGACATTTAGGGTTTAAAGTATAACAATGACCACTTGTAAATTTGTATTTTTATTGGTATGACCGAAAGCATTATATGTAAGTTCGTATTTTTTGCATTTATGTATTTGCATATATTCTTGGGTTGGCTTAACAATATAGTGCAATTTAACCTAAAGCAACAACAAATAATTTCCTTACAAGCCGATGTTGTTAAAGTAACTTTTTTCTTTTATTCTTGTCATGACAATCACTATGTCGATGCCATGAAATTTTGGCTGTTCTGCGGCGCCAGTCCCACGTACAAATGTAGTAAATGCCGAGTGTTTATTGCGAAACTTCAACGATAAATTTAAAGTAAATTATAAAAATATAAATATGACGAATGATTTTATTTTCCAACATTCATGAGGTCATATCAACATTGAGTTTCTGAACATATTCACTATGAATTGCTAACGTGATATCCTAATATAGAGACCAATTATATCTCCATTTTTAAATAACACTGAGACAAGGTGAAGTTTGTGTAGTCATAGGGACTATGAATATTTGAGGTATATGAATAATAACGTGGGTAGTTAATGAGTTCCATTTTACCTCAAGGAGTGGAACTCAACCGTGTGTGAAATGGACTCGGATGGAGATGGGAAATCTAACGGGGAAGAGCTTGGTGATCCCAACTGTTCCTGGACCCCGGGTTCAAAACCCGTCGGCCTGACTACTGGACATCCCGGTACGATCCTGTTGATAATCAGTTACTACATCCTTGTTCGTTCAACTTGAGTGAAAGACACTCAAAATGTCCATTAGATATTTTTTTACACAGTACGTTGTGTTTTTCGACACTCAGATCATCGTGTAAACGTGGCAACTGTTGGATTAATTATGCCCCTGGTTATATATGACCTTTTGGTCTTTTGCATATTAATGATCTATAGATTCGTTAAATACTAATGTTTAAAAACACAACACTATACACAGGCATTTTCTTGTCACCTCAGGTTGTTAAAATGATATTTTAATTTAATTACATGTGAACTCAGGAACTACAATGTATATTTTGGATAAATATCATTATATGCCATAACCAATCAAATGAAAATTTCATATGCCGTAAATGTTGTTTATTGGAGAGCTCAATTTTCTGTTGTTTCACAAAAGGTTTGATGCAAAAAGTCATTAAATAAAATATTTTTCTTTACAAACATTAGTGTTTCAGTGATTCTATTCTATCCACGAAAAGTCTCTGGAATAGCAAGGATTCAGCTGCACTTAAATAGTGAGACCTGTATCCATGTCGATTTTACGTAAATCTCTTTCTCTTTAGGGATATGTGAACCGTTGGATGATCCAAAGTGTGTAAAGATAAACTCAGGACTTACATGTAAAACACGAACTAACTTCGATTGTGACGCCATCAACAGTCCGGGTAGGAAAAAACAACTACGTTTTTATCAGTCTCTTGTATTAATATTTTCTTCACTACACAACGGCGAGTTTTATTATGTAAGGGATGTGCGCCTTAAGGTATATCTGTACGAATGATCACACATCCAGTATAATGGGCGACTCTACGAATGTATTTTGTTTCAAAATATGTGAAGCAACGCAACCAAATGTTTGAAGTTATGGATGTTGGGACAGTCGTGCATTGTCCAAGGTGTCGAGTCGATTACTCTGAAGATGTTAATTACTTGTGTCAATTAGTAAGCCAATTGTTGCATTATAAGAAACAAAGTGCAAGAGTAATTATGCGACACCCAATGCACTAAAATGTATTCGCTAAGTTTAACATTCAGATCATATTTATCAGTTTGGTGTACCTACTGCTACCATCGCCTTGATTAACAGTTACAGCTTTCTACTTCAGATGTGATTCCATTTGAAATCAGATTACAGAAGACAAAGGTACCTGCTGTGGACACAACTTACACGTGCATGAATTTCGCTTTTCCTGCTGACAAAGATTATCACGTGATTGCAGATGAAAGTGTAATAGATAATCACCATGTCATACATCACATCATAATATTTGGATGTCTCGATATAGGTACACAAACTTTCACCAACAATCAATTTCCTGAGACTTGTCATACATGTTTACAAAATTAATACTCTCAATATTCCTTTCTGCACCGATAACCACATCCTTACACCAGTCTCTGATAGAATAAGGATAAGATAAAACATCGGTCGTGATTAGGATTTATTGTAATTATCAAATAAAGCTACAGATATGTCCTAAGTCATCAGAATATCACATTTGACTATTCCTTGTCTGTCTATTAATACACCAAAGATATATTAGAACAAGAAGCAAATACCGACATAATGATAAAATTGATGAAACCGTAGCAAAATGTAAACAAAAGTATAATTTACATGAGGGTCCTTAAAAAGACAAGGAGAATAGGACCAAGTGTTCTCGACGGGTAAACGTCTTCTTCATCGACGATATTTACAATGTAAATCTTAGTCAATCCAAGCAGGCGATGTCACGTTCCAAAACCAGAACTTGGTTTGTAACAATGGAGCCACTATGCACCTGATTGATTCAGTCTTGTATGAAACCAAAATCAAGTAAACCAATGGATGGGCACAGTTAGTTCCTTTGAGATTGTGTTAGGCCTATTGGAAGATCTTACCATTAAAAGCAAAGAAGAAAGCGTTCATAATAGTGATTTGGCCTACCTAATAATACAGATATATTTCGGACACCTGCCGTTGTGATATTATTGCTTATGACAACTTCAAAGCATGCTTTAAAGTCATCCATAAACCATTTTTCTGTCTTTTAAAGGACGAGTTTTCTACAATTAAATGTTTCTCGCAATGGGGCCGTCAGAAGTACCCAATACCTGATAATATCATAGTAGAATCTGTTTAACGGTGAGTTCTTTACTAATAAGAGAAGATATATCATGGCATTCTGTATATTTGTAGCTCAGAATTTTATTCACCCAATGAATACACAATACGACTGTCTTGGAACGATGGGTGAGCATGAATGTAAAGAACAGATATCGATTTGGACCGTCGGTTTACTTGGTATGTGTCACAACGGAAAAGCTGGCTTCAGGATTGGAGACAGTGGATACAAGTTTGGCACAATGGAGGTACATTGTAATGCCTAATCTCTGTTGATTAAGTTATTTAAAAGATTAATAAACAAAGGTTACTTCGTGAAATATTTAATTCAATAGGGATTTTAATCTTACATGTTAACTGCTAGGAAATTCATCGAAAGAAAATTATATTTAAATAAAGACTGATGTGTTATGAATCTTAAATGCTTCATTAATTAGTATAAATTCGTATTATCGGTCTAACTACTATAAACTCTAAAATACGATACATGATATTGTTATTTTAGGTCCATTGGAGCAATCCTGGTCTGCGAGATGACTACATGGACAGTTCTGGGATGATCTTGCATTACACCCCTGTACTAAGACCGTACAATCTTGGAAATCTTATAACGGGCGATAATAATTTTAGTATACCTCCAGGAAGATCTAGCTACGTTGTAAACTCTAAGTGTACTTCCGGTTGTTCTGCAAAACTCATGAGTAGCTCTATTTACGTTGTCGCCGGTTATAACCACATGCATCAGCTGGGTGAGTACAGATAATGGTCCTTCTGTCGTTCACGGCATCTTTGATATACTTTGTAGTTGTTATTTTATTGTAATGTCCAGTTAAACATTTTATTCATCGTATACATTTTCCGATCTTTATGATCTTTATATTACAGATTGATGTTTTGACAACTTTTCGATTGAATTGTAACACAACGAAGGAAAATGACTGTAGTCAAAATATTACTATTTCATATTTCTAAAAAGCCTAGTGAACTTTTTGATATTTGATAATTGCGATGGTCTCTAATTTCGTATAAATTAGGATGCAGATAGTACCCAGTTCATTTGTAGCCTCTTAATATATATTGATTTTAACTTGTACGTTCGAAGGTAAAGCGATGACGCTGTTCCATAAGGCGTCCGGCAAGGAAGAACGTATATTAACATACGATCCTCATTACAGTTTTGCTAATCCAGTAGTTCACATGTAAGTACTACAAGAAATCGTTGTCGTTTCTATGTGTCAGGTACCTTTACAGATAATTCAGAGTAGTTTGTTAACAAAACGTAAAACATAATTCATAATTGATTAAAAAAGGAGATGGTAAAAAAGGTTCGTTTCGAAAAAGAATCATACCATTGGTTCTAAAAGAGCCTTCTTCTTCACCGACGTATATCGAATCAAAAGTATTTTCTGTATAAAAACTTGAACATTTACAATGAAGCCAACAGTTATATTAAAAAGTGAGCGTCGAATACATCGCATTTTACTTAAGATGTCGCAAAAAGATTTAAATGTCTCATTGACAACGTTAGAAATGTCTACAGTATCGACACTCTCTGGCTCCTCTTGAAATTATTAGTTGTAGCCTCTGTAGATCAAAGGTTTTATCAGTGTCTTCTACTTTTAGGAGATATTGAAAAGACAAAATTATATATGCTTCTCCCTGTTGCAACCTTTGGAATATTGACCTTTTCGATTTTCTTATCTGCTCTGTTTCCCCTCCACATATGACCTTGGCTGTTGCGAGGACATTCAGCCAGTAAAACAAAAGAAAACTATAATGTCGTTATATCTAGCGCGGAGTTCATGGCAACGGATCTCGGGTGACGTTTTACTACAGTAATCATATTTTTATTTCAGTTTTGATCCTCCAGTAGAAATCAGGCCCGGAGATGAACTGAAAACCACATGCACATTCGATTCTTCTGAAAAACGCACCATAACTTATCAAGGAGATGGAGCTTCAGATGAAATGTGCACAAGTTACATAATTTACTACCCAAAAGAAGCTGTTTGGAATTCCGAGTGTACTTCATACAAAGGATTTCCTATATGCTCCATTAGTAATATAAGTGATAAACTGGCAAGACGAAGTCCACCTTAAGCATATATGAAACCAAAACAACAAGCATAGTGTTATGTTCAACATCCAGAAGATGCGTTTCTTAAACCATCGACATTAAATTTCAACCATTGAACTATCCTCTTCAGATTGTATCCATCGTCAAGCTGAATGCTGATGATTGAAAAGATAAATAAACGTCTTGCGTTCATATGGACAATAAATACAACCATGACAAATTCATAGGACAATAAATACAACCATGACAAATTCATATGGACAAATAATACAACCATGACAAATTCATATGGACAATAAATACAACCATGACAAATTCATATATCATTTCAAAATGTTTAATAATGTCTTATTAATTAAGTTATAAATGTTTGACGTTAATGTTTATTTATAGAAGAGCTTCCTACTCTGTAGGATTTATATAAAATCTATAATATGTGTTATCTGAGGCCACGTGCAAATCGTTGATGTGACGTGGGTCAGCTTGGAGCTTAACGGGCGTCACTGTGATCTAGCATGTATATGTCTACTCCTGTAAATACAATCCAGATTCACACGCATTTGACAATATGATGCCGTATTGCAAAATGTAATGATGTTGTTGTTCAACTCCGAAGAATCAACACGGAATCTAAAGTAGAATTTCTGTCGATTAAAGACCACTATTTTGACTTCTATCATTATCTAATAAACCAAGATATCACTTATAAGCGTGTCTGAGGTCATCCCATGGCCAGTTACATGTTCGAGATCATCACTGAATACTTTTTACATAACTATCAGTACACGTTGAAATCAGCTCTGTTTACACCTTCAACAGAAAACACTTTCCTTTTGGTCTTACGAATGTATTTCCTCGAATTCTTATTGGTTTGTCGACTTAATTAATCTCGATGTTATTTTATTTCTTTTCGTTTTTGAAATTTGAAATAAAACTGGCAGAAAGTGGAAATTCGTTGTTCCGTCTTTTCATATCGATGAAGAATGTATTTCGATATTATCATGCAAGAATGTTGAGGCCCCCTGTCCTGTCATAAAGACCTCTGATAGCATCAATAATATTTGGATCAAATTTCAGAAGCATAAAAAGCAGAAGACAAACATTTACCAACTGGCTTGCCCGTTGTCAGTATTATGTGGCCGAGTGTCATATATAAGACTGATTGGTAGGTTGTGAACCTTGTGTTGAAGAGGTGAAGCTGGGATGCCAACTTTCCTATTCCCTGACTATCTAAGGCTATGTACCCGAAGACTGGTCAGTATATGTCGAAGAGGTAGCACTCTTAAAGTAAACAATGCAAAATGGACACAATCGCTGAAGGAGAAGTGATTCAATATTTGCACAAGAAATCACTAGCATCTACGGATATCCATACTGATAATGTAGCAACACTAGGGAATGGTGTTCCTTCATATGCTACAGTGAAAAGGTGGATGGGGGAATTTAAAGGTAACAGACAGAGCCTTGGGGATGACGCCCGTCCTGAAAGGCCTGTCGCTGTTGCAGTCCCAGAAATGGTCGATAAATCCATGGTATTGTTATGTCTCTGAATAGCGAGTTACAGACAGATATATAGCCAGAACAATTGGTTTTGCACAAGAAAAGGTACATTTCATTCTTACGGAAGATCTTGCAATGACAAAGCTTTCAGTCCGTTGAATATGAAGACTTCTGACAGTTGATCAGAAGCACATCAGGCGGACTTTGTCGCGCGCTAGTCTGAACCTTTTAGAGGCAGATACTGCTAACTTTCTACAGAGGTTTGTGGCTATGGATGAAATCACCCAAGAGGCCAAACGACAGTCTAAACAATCTCAACAATGGAAGCCCCCCCCCCCACCTCGCCAAAGAAGGCAATGATGGTGGTATTCTAATAGTAGGTTATCTGTAGACGCTGCTCCACCAGGACAATGCCCTTATTCATAAATCTGTCAGTGCCATGGCCGCCATTAACGATTGTGGCTTTGAATTGATTGGGCATCCGCCTTATTCGCCTGATCTCGCTCCATCAGACTTTCAATTATTTCCAAAATTGAGAAAGCCCATTTCCGGTACCCACTTTCAGTGGAAGACTTTCTGAACGGTAAAGAAAAGGTCTAAAAGTGGCATTAAAGTCATCAAATATCGCTGGCAAAAGTGTATAGATACTGAGAGGGATTATGTCACAAAATAATGAAGTATCCCTTCAAAAGTCAGATATTTTAATATGAGGCTCATAACTTATCAATCAGTCCTCGCACATGTATCACAGCTAAGGTTACTTGCTGCTGACACAGTCTTGTATTTATCATTTAACTGTCACGACGACCATCATATTCTCCAATAGTCTAAATGGAATTTAATCCGCCATCAACCTACTTATTTCACGGTTGTATACTTGAGTCAGTACTCTCTCACAAAGACCATGGTGTCGACATTACAAACTTACCCGGACCATCCATATCAGCAGGGCAAGATGGACACGATCACATTGTGGTACCTCAAAGTGTTAAGATCAGAAGTACTATATATACAAAACAGATAGAGTCCAAAGTTGGTGTCTAGGACCATTGTACCCGTGATATCCTTAACCACATCGACGGATGGCCCAGATCAGAGATACAGGTTTTCAGTTTATTCCCCTCTCACAAGTATTACAGTAATTAGAACACAGGTGCTTAGTGGCATGTGTAACACAGTAGGTGTAAACACATGTACTTGTTGGTAATAGCCATATTTATTACATGTTGAATAATAATAATGTTACATATACAAAAGCAACATCTCATCAACATTCAGAGTTCATACACTCATACTAGTACTTCACGTTGTGTCTCGTATCAGAACTGTCCATCTAGTGGGCTTCCCCAAGGCCGTGTGTTCTAACCTAAAGATCTCCCGTCTGTCCACAGGGCTTGTCTATAGGGCTCTGTCCATAGGGCTCTCTTCCCAGGGCTCTGTCTATAGGACTCTGTCTGCTCTCCTTCTGCTCTCTCTCTCTCTCTCCTTTTATCTTACTCTGGACCAAGCTTGTCCGGCCATCCCCTAATATGGACTTCAATTGTTCCTGGATGATACGATTGTTGAAGTATAGCCACCTGTACTCGAGGTGCAAGGTTGAGATTCCCCCTGCTAATTTGTTACTTGAAATAGACCCTAATAATTACTCTGCTACTAGGTGGCCACTGCCCGAACGGGAAATTGCATAGTTTAATTATCAAGGAAGTGGGGATAGTCTCTAATTAATTAACTGGCCAAAGCTGTACACCCACTGATAAAATTCTCAGGGTCCAGACTACACCAACCTAAGTGTATATATGCAAGTAATTATCCACACCCCTGTGAACTACCTATATATGTTATATTGATATACTATTGAACATTAAACGAACTACTGTTTAAGCTAACTTATTTCAACCAAGCCCATATGAAAATCCAGCTGTTTTACAGAACAGACTAGTAGGATCATAAGATATCAGTGCTGTCCACTGTAAATACAGTTACGAAATATCGGTGTGCGTTCATGATTCCCATCCAGTCTACCCGATATTACGTATTGATAAAATTAATCAACCAGTCAGTCAAAGATTATTGACTTATGTATCTGAGTTACACTAATATCGAAACCACATTTTGTAACAATATATCTAAACCCTATTTTGTTCCATTCGTCCCCTTTTCAATGAGAAATTTTATTGTGAAATCAAAGTTCTTTGACTAACATCAACTATTTTACCAACTTTTTGTAAAGGTTAATTCCAATACTAAGTTTTATAATTTCATTTGGATGCATCATCGTACATTAACATATATGTCTTTAAAATATATCAATTAAGTAACATGTAAATTACTTCCTAGATTAAGATTCACTTTCAACGTACTACGTCTCCCCTCTACAAATCTTATAATAGATCATAACATGATACAAATTCTGAAATATCAACCATACAAATCATAACTTTACATATGTACCGCGTATACATTGATAATTAGCATGTCATATATGAATTCATCAATATTGCTATAATACAATACAACAAATATAGTATTAAACAGTTCTCATAAAAACATTTAACCTTTTCATATCCATGTAAAAAATACAGAATGTCTTGGAAATGTCACTTTTGACAGAACCAATCAAACATAATGTATTATAGTGTCCACAATCATACTATCCATCGAACAAAAGTTATTTACATATTTTTATGCGTTTATTGTCTTTAATTTGAACAACACGATAGTGTTTATAGTTCTTCTTCCAGGTTGGGGAAAATTGGTTTTCGGATCCTCTTCCGTTTTATAAAACCTATTTCCGATCATGTGTACTCTTGTCGGGTACACGGAAATGTACATGTACATGTGTAACAACACATGTTAGTCTCTCGTTGTTTCGAAAATAGCGTTAACTACTTCCTGTCCCGTACTATTACTTCCCGTCAGAAAAATGAACTTTAAGAACTTCATCCTTATAAAAATCCACTTCAAACGTCCTGATGGAATGTTCGTACAACTCGATTAATTACGTCGAAAGTATTCTCCGTCCTTCTTAAACTTTCAGTGATTTTCAACACTTCATTGTCCGTAGTTGTCTCCTTGATTAGCGCAATGGATTGTTGCTAATCTCAATTGGTTGGTGTAGAGATAATTTCTCTAAAGATGTTCTCTCATCCTCAGCTTCAGCCGACACCATTACGTAACTTAGCAAAGTGATTAGCTTACCTGACCCTTTTCATTCTCCTACGAATTAAAATTGATGCGTTCAGTTCTTCAAAATCTATAAAACATTAAAAATTAATTGTTCAACTTTTCTTTCTTTTTTTTTTAACTCCAATGATTATTTTTCTTTGCTTGCTCTTAATTTGTCATTAATTCTTATCACAATTAAATCATGATCTACTTTTTAGACACTCCTTTATTGAGCAAGATATTGAATCTCACGTACGGTATTGCGCAATTGGTTACGAGAGAGTTCGTTCTTTCACTCAGTTAACTTTCTATTATTAACATGTTAAATACTAATTTTAAAAACTTTAAATTTCTTCAT